TTTGTCACTTTTCGTTGGAATAATTAAAATATTTTACTATTTTATTTTATATCTATCTTTCTGATTACATAATATTTGCTCAAATTGATGCAAAAATACTTGACAAGTTCTAAGTATTATTAATATATGTTTATATAAGCTACTTGACAAATATTGGTTATTATGTAATTGTTTAAATTTAAATAGTTTGTAATTCTATATTAAATCTTTACAACATAAATGATTTTAATGTATAAAAAAATTTTTTAAAAAATGCTTGTAAAATAATTTACGCTCATTTCAATTTAAATATCGAATCGAAACGCAGCATTCTTCATAGCATATAAAAATGTGTTAACGTTTGAGATACGCAGTTGCAGCTGCAGCTGATTCTTCGTGACAATTCGCGATTTTCGCTTTCCGAACGATTTTTAAACAATTGCCTAATTTTGATTGCTTGCTTATCGAGTTCGCGAAACAACGAACTATCATTGTCATGGCCCAATACGAATTATTTGAACGTTGTACAGACGAATCGCATTTCTCAAATGTTTTATCACTTTCATTTACATTAAAATTTATTAAATATTAAAAACAACGCGAAAACGTTGAAAACTCTTGCCCAATGTGCAAAATGTTTTGTCACTTTTCATTGAAATAAAATTAAACAAGTATTGAATTTAATTTTATAATCTTCAAATATATTCATTATTTTTACAAAAATTTCCTAAAATTTATCAAATATGTTTATATAATATTTGCTAAAATTTATGTAAAATTACTTGGAAAGTTACAANTAATNTTCATATATGTTTATATAAGTAATTGCANCAAACAATCAAATCAATAAAAACATTTATTTTTTGAATCTACTTCTACAAGTACTTGTATAAGTTACTTGGCAAATATTGTTTAGTATATAATTATTTCAATTTAAACATAGAATGAAATGCATTATTTATATGTAGATTTTTCCATAATTGTTTGAATTTGTAATAATTAACGCACGTTTCAAAATATTCGAATCGAAAGCAGCATTCTTCATGCGATATAAAAATGTGTTTAACGTTTGGGATACGCAGTTGCAGCTGATTCTTCGTGATGATTCGCGACTATTCGCATTTCCGAACGATTGTTTAAACAATGCAGGTGTTCTCACTGCACTCTTTTGATGCCCAAATATGGATTTGTTTATACGTACGCAGTTGTGATGATTCATCGAGACGCAGGTGTGTGCGAAGTTTTATCGTCAAAGTTCTATGAAGCGCGCAAATATAAACTTTTAACAATCCGTTAATACAAGAAATTATTTATAATTATTTAACAGAGCGACTCAATGTTTACATTGATGAACAGATTGTGAATAAAATTATACGACATAAAACAAATATATTTACCTGCTATAGCTGTAGTTTTATGTGAGAAAAGTAAAATAAAATGCAAGAAAATTTGTATATATGATATATTTATTAGTCTATTGTAAAAGGGAATTGAATTTATCTCTCGTTGTGGGGGGATGAAAAAATTACAAGAAGATCCTGAATGGAGAGTGCAGCAGGAGTGGTAGGAAAGAAGGAACAATAACGTCTGGTCCCCATGTATCGAGAGTCACTTTAGATAAGTATCAGTGCCTGTGAGGTCCGTGGACGGTTTTGAAGCGGCGCGAGAAATTCGTTCGTCTGCTCTTCTTCGCCCTCTGAAACAACAAACTATTGCAAATTTCCTGTTCAGCATACAGCATCCAGCATCCACCCTGCAGCAATCATTTCCATAAACAAATTTGCGTGCAGCGTTTTCCGTTTCCAGCAGATACGAGGCGATAGGCGACGACTTTCATTAAAATTTAACGCGTCGCTCCACACAAAAAGCACGTTTTCGCCACCCTCTCCGACATCGGCAGCAAGCAATGCCATCTCTAACCACCGTGTGTTTGTACGGCGCACTTTATTTGCTTACTGAACACACATCCAGAGAAAAACCTGCAGATATTATCGATATACACATACATCCATCCACTTCTTACCCCTAATATTGGCGTATTCGAGGGTTGAGGAAAATTTAATATATACGAATGTGAGGGAGTGATGTTCCCTTCCATATCCAGCGATTTATCGATCATGTCTGATCCTTAAGAATCTACTTATTTATATAGCGCGCCTTGCATCATCACATGTTGCTGAATTTTTTTTTTATTAATAGCGCGCGCCATCGCTCCGACAACCCGGAAAACTTATTGAACTTTAAGCTTCACTAGACGACATCATTATTCAAAGTTTCGCATAAATATTTAAAACTCGCTATAGATTTTAACCTCGACCCATCCATACTCCGAGACCACCCCACATCTACTCAATCTGAACCGATTATATATTTTCACAACTTGTGATTATACCTCTTGCTCTTAGATTATCCACTTTTCAATTAAAAATAAATGCATATACAATTGATATATTTACATCAGTTAACTTTAATAAGTACATTTCACGTTCCAATAATCTAAATCTAAACGCGTACGAGGATGCGCGATGAATTTGAATTCTCATAACGATGATCCGATAATCCCTGATAACATCATTAAGCTTACCCCATTGCATTGTTCTTTAGATAAATTGAAGCCAAACTAAGAACACATTTTCGTTAAGTAAGTACATTAACGTGAACTTCAAGAACAAGTTAAGCGTTCTCTTTACGTGACATTCCGTATTTTGATAATAATTAAACTTGATAAGAAGAAAATACATAATTAAGTCAATTTCATTAATTAATTAAAGTATTTCTAAATCATGCTAATAACAATTTAGATAACATCGATTATGATGACTATTTTTTGCAATAAACATAAATGACTTTAAATGAATTTAAATAAAGATGCGAATTTATTGTGTAAAGTGGTTGATTTCGATCCTCCCCCCCTCACCAAATAAATGCTGTTGTTCTATTTAAACTGTAAAATCCAATTTGTCATGTAACAGCGAACAATAGAATTTCATTTGTGCCGATAATTGCATTTACGCGATAGAGCCAAATTAACTGGATAAAAAATACATAAAATACAAGTATTTATTGCATATCGTGTACATATATATTGCTTGCACACTGTAGTTGTCAACTGGATCGAAATTTATTTGCTAAACAATAAATACTTCAAACAGCTCATGAAACCAGCAAAATATAATTAACTTTTGCAAAGTTCGGTTCATCCAGAAAAATAGTTTGTAACTATTAACAAATGTTTGTTCTCAGATATCTGTAATTATTATCATTGCAAAGCTAATCTAATGATGATATTTAAGAGAGTTTTTGTAAACTATAGTATACAAATTATGTTCTTTTATAGTATTGATATTTAATAAGTATCAAATCAAATTGGACTAATAGAAATAATTGCTTTGACTGTATTTCAAATTCAATTAATTCTTGTGTGTTTTTTTTTAAATTTTCCTCGAGCTGACATAACTCCAGTATAATTGGAATGAGTATAATTGGCAATAAATTGAATTAAGTAGAATTGACGCAATTACTGGATAAACGAGTTTCAAATAAAGCGCGCTTTATGGTGCACACGATTTGGCGCTCCAAACACAACGTTAAATTTAAATTGAAAATAAATTAAATAGAAAATTGCATTTTCAGCAAACAAAAAGGGCCGACGGCGTTTAGTGCGCGGGCTCAAATCTTATAATCTACAATGAATTAATGAACGCTCGCTTCTGCCCTATTTAATTTTTTTTTGCTATTCCTCTTATTCCACCTGGGCTTACGCTGCGCAACGCTAACTAACCGAATTGTATTTAATATTTAACGGCCGGTAAGTCCGGGATTTCATCCTATCTTTATGCATTTATAATTCATGTGTTTATTTACCTCGGATTTCAATGCTTTCCTGGACTCGTGAGCTTTCCTCGCCAATTCCATGCGTACCCACTCCGGCTTGTCGGCGATTGCGATGTGGATCAAATAGCGAATGCCTATCAATAGGTGCTCGAGGAATACGAACAGCATGAACCATTTCTCGGTCGAGTAGTCCGGAGCGTAGGTCTTCATCTGCGGACTGAGGCACAGCAGGCCACAATTTGTCATTATCGCGAGTGCTCCTAGGATTTCAAAGCATCTCTGCAACAAACGCAATTTCATATTTATGTCCAAGCTACATTCATTCATTCCTGCATAAATCAATCCATTTTTTTAATGTTTAAACCTTTTTGTAAATAATATTGTTATTCGTTTATTATAGACTGTTAAAAACCACGAAACTCGTCGCTAATATGTTAACTCGTTGACGTTAAATCAATACCTCACTAATCGTCAAAAGAGGCGTTGTAAGGATGGTAATACGATGTGAAATTCATTATAATGAACATCGTATATAACTGAAAACAGTGTGCTACGGACGGTTTGTGAAGCATTTAAAAAAAAATGGACCAGCAGGGTTGAAAAAAAATCAACAGGGGAGGAGGATTGCTGAGCCACGTAGCGTGAAATTAGGATTATAGGTGCAATGACTGTACGAGTTTTGCAGAACGTGGAATATGCATCCACCTATGATGATGGTGGAGCCTTTGTTCCACGCAGCACCATCCATAAATAATAAAATTGTCGCTGGTCCGAGTACGGCGTAATCTACTTCTTTATTTATTGGTCCCCCATTTCAAATTAAATATGCACAAAAGGAAACGCGCACAACGCCGTCAACAATACAAGATAAACGTGGAGCTGCTATACGCTTTGCGAAAATTAATTTACCACGCAGATTCTTCCCGATGCACACGTACACACGTACGTCGCAGAGGACATTACGTAATGGCCGTGTGCAGGTGAAATCCCTGCGGGGCTCGTAATTCCCCCGTGTTTATGATGTGCGCGGGATGAGAATACACCCATACCGCAGCACATACATTCGCTCATACTTAAGAAGGCCCCCCCCCCAATAATTTTAAATTGTTGCCAATTTCCCAGCACCATTTTACGGCTCCGCTCTAATCTACTAAACGCTTGCCCCCATCCATTAATTCCTCACCAGACACGAAACTATATATTCTTGTTTGTTTTTTTTAGAAAAATCTAAGTTCAGATGATTCTCCAGTAATATTTTCTCGCATAGCTCTATTTTGAGTACATAAACATGTTGAAAAGCACTGATGTATTGGCGCTGTACATAAAATATTCATAAGTCTGAAAAGCAATTTTCAATACCTGCCAGGCGCCGATATCCTTGACCCGTTTTCCCATCGGCCGTTGGTACACCACGCACAATTTGAAGGCGTCCGCGCGGATCTCCAGGACGTTATTGAAGACGGCCCAGAACGCAGCCAGCGGATAGACGGATGAGAAAAGGACGACGTATCCAAACTGTATGAACATCTCGAGGTAATCATCGTAGGTGCCCTCGTAATCCTCCATCATGCCCTCCTGCCGAAAGATCGAAATCTCAATATGAATTGCCGGAAAGCATACTTGATTTCATTTCACCTCTTCCGCCTCCTGGATTCGCGAATCATCCTTGTGTATTTCCGCTATCTCGTGCAACGGTTCGTAGCTACTACATATACTTTGATGACTATCCCTGCGTTTATTCTTATCGCTGCCGAGTAGATTATATTGAACCATCTAGAAAGAATCAGGATCAGATGGGATTGTTCTATTTTCTGGATAGATGAACAAGACAACCTTCGTTGTAGATAGTTTGACGATCAATGGAATGATGGCTTCTTGCACGTGATTGATCGCTTGCAGAATGATGAGCATTGTTGCTACTTGCGACCGTAGCATTTCCATGTCCTGTATGTAAAAGGCGATGTAGAAGAGGGCCATAAAGTTGTTCACGAATTCGAAAAGGACCAATTTGGTGACGCGATGTCGATCGAACTGGGACTGAGTTCGGTGATTTTCTAGTTGGCGATAAGAAAAAAAATCCATTAGCTTGAAAGCCGCACTCGAAAAATAGCTATTAGCCAATCCATCATCGCGGCGTAACCTATTCTCTTTTTTTTTTTCTTAACCATATGAAAAGGAGTATTTACCCCATTCGGTGAGCCACGTCGCCAATTTCCTATAATATACATTAACTATGTAAACTAGGGCCGTGTACAAGACGCTCGGTACTAGGAGCAGAGTCGGAGTCCATTCGGAATCTACGTTTCTGATCAAGTCTTCGATCCAGAACGAGGCCAGCATCATTATGAATGCCCCAATCATGCACAAAAACACAATTGGAATGGAAACCAAATACATCTGCACAGAGAGAAAAAAAAAAGCAAATAAGTTCAACCAATTCCCAATTACACAATTTGCGGCTGTGTACCTTTACGTTGGTCTTGTATCTGGGGTATTGCGGCTGCAATCTACCGGTCACATGATCTTTTCCCATATGTCCATAGAAATTGGGCCGTGGTTCATCCAGGCTGGTCATGCCAATTGTTCCCCATTTAAACGCCAGCTCGTTCGATTTACGTTTCCACAGCTGTAATTTATTATCGTTATAACTAACAATTATTATACAATTTACTCAATTATAAACAAATAATAATGAGATTAACAACAGCTAAAATCGATAAAGTAAAGGAGCAGACACACACAGACTCGCATACAATAAAGCTTTATTTCTTTATGTTATGCAACAACAAAGAAGAAGACGGATTGCGTACGGCGGTTACACATCCGCGTGCAGACTATAGAGAGACGACGGGTTGGGGAAAAAATTGCATGGAAAAGCCTGCCTCGGAGGATCAAAAAAAAAGGAGAAATAAAGCTTGGAGAAAAGAAAATTTCAACGCGAGCGATCCAGTTGATGACACGCCGCTGTCGGAAACAAATGGAACTCGTTTTTAAAGTGTCACATTTGTAAACTTTCCATAATGGATCGCGAGGGTTAAAATCCTCCACCTCCCCTCCCGGCGCTCATCCCTCTGAAAACATTTCCAACCCCGTCCGCGAAATGCTTACGGATAAAAAAGAGAAACTCAACTCAACAAAAAGCTCTTTCTACTCATCTTGCCGTATTTCTTCTATTTTTTTCTTCTTCTCAAAAACCTCATCAGCATTCGTGTACACAGATTAATTAGATGGAAAAATAATTTGCTGCTTTCTCGGTGATACGAAAACGCGCATTCAGCTATGATTACGAATACAATTTTTCTTAAGAAATTGTATCCGAGAGTTCAGATTTCATCTCTATTATTATTTTCCTTATTAATGCCAGTGCATCCCGTTGATTTATGTAGGATAATTTATATTGTTTCTTTTACTTTTTCTTGTTTTTTTTCTCTTCTTCTTCAAAGAAAAATAAAAATAGGGGAAAATTTATCGACATCAGTTATTGTTTCAGATAACGGACTATGGCAGAAAACTTTGATTTATGATGGTTCTATCCCAGATAAATCTAATAAATGTTGTGCTCTTGCGCTAATCTTCTCGGTCATCTGTTTGTAGCGAAAACGATTTCTTATCTTTCCCAATAAATCTCTTCTCACTATTGTCTCAATTCAGTTTCATTTTTTTTTATTTATTTTTTGATATTATCAAACGGAAATGACTACTAACTTTACATTATAGGTGATAAAGTTAATTGTTGAACTTTTTGATATAATTCGTTAATATCGATTTGGACACTAAAGTTTAGAATGTAGTGAAAATGTTGAATTATGACAGGAAGCAGAGTAAAATCTGGACCAGACGTTTTTATGTGTTTCAAATTTAAGATTGTCAATATCGAGGGTGTCACACCATTTATCAATGCTGTAGTTACCTTAATATTTTATATAGAGTATGTCTAGCATTAATGTGCTTTGTTTCTCGCTATTGCTGTTTAAGCTTCATTAGTTTTAGACAACCGGAAAAGCAAAACTCACCTCGAGGAAGACAGTAGCCCAAATAACGTTGACAACACAAAAGAAAGGAACGGTCTCAGCGGAAACCAGCAACTGCACGAAACCCAAGGTCATGGGAAGCAGAAGAGCGAATGTGTAGTATCCCAGGAACGAGAAGTACATAGAGACGGCCTCACCAAAATACTCTCGGATCTCATCTGCAAAAATAATATTCAAGCAAAAATTTGTGAAAAAAAAATATGTGTTTGTATTATGAACAGCATAAATTGGAGAGCAAAGGCGTCGTAAATATCTAGCACATAAATATAAAATAAAGCGTCGCCAATTTCACGTTGATGTTGGACGATGATGACGGTGATAAGCTTAGAGCTATCGATTTCCAAAAGGCCATTAAAGTAAGTTGTCCTGTTATATAGAGAATTCTCGATCCCTCTTCCGCAACGGATGGCAGCCGTTGCGTCGCCGGAGTCTCGGCAGACGTTTCGTTGGCCCCGAACCCCTTTTCCGTAGTCCCCAATACCCAACCCCCCTTCTGAATCCACCCATCAACCGCCCGCAATGCTAATGAAAATGTATTCTCTGCGCGACACCCGCAAAACGGGGCAATTAGCAGACGATCGACGGAGAAACGGAATCCTCAGAGTCCTCCTACACTCTTAATTACCAAAAACGGGTACCCTTCCATCCGTTCCCGCACCATTATCCAACTGAGTTAATCGATGCAAACGGTCCAAGAAGACCATGACGAATGAAAGAAAAAGGTACACGGATCCAATTGAATTCCCCTAAGAAACGTAATTGAAGGGCTTACCGAACGGTTGCTTATTCAATAAGGACAAATACCAACTAGCCCCCAGTTTCTTCAACGACTCCTTGTCGTGCAGCGGGTAGATTTGTTTCACGATATTCGCCTTCAGACATACATGGATTATCGATTGGCCTTCGTACAGTTCGATGTTTGGATACCCAGGGATCGACGTGTCTTTAGGCGATGCTCGTATGTTCTCCAGCTCGTGTTTCACGATGTTCTGCCGTTCCGTGACCGTGAGTAGATCATCGATGTGCACGTCTTTCGATTGAAAATTCTCCAGCTCGTTCATATCGCTGAAAATGTCTTGCTTCATCATATCCATTTCCTCTGCCACTAGCAGAAACTTGATCATCGACGCGGATATATGGAGAACAACGCCCTGGCCAAAACAGTGCATAAAGGTATTCAATTCTTACACAGAGATTGCAGGAAGATCAACTTACCTCCTTCTTGTTATAAGGCTGTTTCATTACCAACAGTTCCGCTCCACCCTCTGCTCTCTCCCCACGTATTTTATCGACGAGCCATAACAAAGTGTTCTCTGGAATATTTGGTGATAGTTTAACAACCAGGAAACTTCGTGGTAACTGTTTGGTGTCATCCTCTGCATAGGAGAAACCACCTCGGAAGTGATGAGTTTCTTCCGGCTCGAAAAGATTATGATTGGACATTAGACCTGGAACAGATTTAACCTATCAGTCTTGTATGTATTGCATCATTCATATACACAAGTATGAGCCATGCGTTATAAATTTGTTAGTCGGCAAGGCGGCGTCTGCAAATTGAATTTTCCTAGAAAATTGAGTGGATTCAAACGTGCATGGCATTAGGGGCATTTCAGAGTTACGTGGAATTAAATTTCGCGAATAGATGAGAGACCCGGCGAGAATAGTTACGTTACGTCACACATACGTGTCCCTTTTCTCATTGATTATATGTAATATGTATATATATATAGCCATATCCATAGATGTGCAAATATTAAATTCCTGCACTATACTATATCATGAAACGCTTTACACATACGATAGAATCTAATTAAATCTATACATAGTTAAGTTAGTTAATAAAGATATTTGTCAGGTGTATGTAGACATGTTTCTGGTTTACTTTTGTAATATACAAAACTAATTCTGTATTTCATTCTAGAAATACGAATACAGCAAATAATTCTGTGAACATCAAAATTACCAGAACAGAAAAAAGTATAGAATTTTTGATTGAAACCTAATTTAATGTATAATTTTGATAGGTCAATGAACTGTATTATTTCTTTACAGAAACACATTGTTTTTAATTAGAATTTGTGCACAGTTATTGTTCTACAACAATTTTAAATTGTATATATTTGGTATGTAAAAATAATTATATTTATGCAGAAGATACATTTTTTGTTTATAAAAATATTCTTAACAAAAATAAAACATTTCGCTCTCAAGTTTTTTTTAGCTTCAACTGACTACGAACAATTTATTTATTTAAACACGCTATATTCACTATTGTTTATTACTCACTATCCTCTGCGTCGTTCACTTCAGTATTCATTTTGGTATTTCTGGAGGTAGAAAGACCATTGTGTGTTGTCTGCATCACGGATATCAATGGATTTCGAAAAACCGCGACGTTGTATTTCTTATCGTTTACGTTCACACAGTCAGTGTTCAAAATAAACCAAAATGAAATAATACACAGAAAAAAAAAATCTTTAGATAAAACAATTTTAGCCTGTATGCTAATTAATATGTAATGAATCGCACGACGTTTTCTGCTTACTATTCCACATGCTACGCGTCACCTAACGTCCGCGTACCTACAGATAAACCATATTCCCGCGTTGAATTCAATGAATTAATAACATTGTTATCTAATTGACTAACGACAAATCCAACATTGATAAGATAAGTAACAACAATCCTTTTAACAATAATAAAACATATAGAAAATAATTATTAATAAATACAATTGTAGAAATAACGCGAATTCTGCAGGAACTTGTTGATTAGTTCGTTGACTCCATAACGCGTGACAATACTCAACGTTTTATTTTAAATGAAATATGTATTTTCATTAATTAATATTAAATATGTATTTATATTCAAAGACTTCGGTTTTTTAAGCCACTTACATAATAGTTAATTGCTTTATAATCCTAATATAAATAGTCATATTTGAGTAAGGCTGATTACTTTAGTAATCATATATTGTTTTAGATAAATCATATAAGTTAGTAATTTTTAGTTTTAAACATTTTCTTAAACATGAAATGTAATTTACATCATACCTCTGTCTATTTCTAGCGATACTGCCAATATTTTTACAGTTTGTTTGAAATAAACGAACTGTTCGGAATGCGCAAAAATCGGCACTTTCGCGATAGATTTTTAAGTAATTAGAATTTGACTTCAGTTTTTAAGCCACTTACATAATAGTTAATTACTTTATAATCCTAATATAAATAGTCATATTTGAGTAAGGCTAATAATTACTCTAATAATAAATTAATTATAAAAGTTTAAAGCATATATTGTTTTAGATAAATCATATAAGTTAGTAATTTTTTAGTTATAAACATTTTCTTAAACATGAAATGTAATTTACATCATACCTCTGCCTATTTCTAGCGAGACTGCCAATATTTTTACAGTTTGTTTTGAAATAAACGAACTGTTCGGAATGCGCAAAAATCGGCGCTTTCGCGATAGATTTTTATGTAAATATTTTTTGTTATGGTTACATGCATAACAAATTAGGATCTAAAATTTAAGGCTTGGTGTAGCATAGAATTTATGTAATAACTTAAGATCTTACTACTTTGAAAATTTATTAAAAAATAATGTGTAATGTGTGTAATTTTTATTTCTTGTTTCGACGAAATGGACAAAGTCTGTCTGTGGTAAGTAAATATTTTTTGTTATGGTTACATGCATAACAAATTAGGATCTAAAATTTGAGGTGTAGCATAGAATATATGTAATAACTTAAGATCTTTGAAAATTTATTAAAAAATAATGTGTAATGTGTGTAATTTTTATTTCTTGTTTCGACGAAATGGACAACGTCTGTCTGTGGGTTAATTAGTTTGCACATTATTTTTTTTATAGCAGTATTTTTCATATTTTGTTTAATGGCAGAGGAAGTATGGAACTTTGTACATACGTACAAGATGTAATTATCGCGGTCAATTGAGTGTGCTTACAAGACACCGAATCACATAACGAAACGAATTACCAGCAGAAACTAAATATCGGTCTCTTTCTTCTCACATACTCTCATTTTCTTTTCATTTATTTTTATATTTTTTCGCGTATAATCGGCTTCCTTTGAGAAACCAAACTCTGAACATCCTTCAGAAACAGATTTTCTTGATAAGATTCAATATCAAAGCGGGACGCGCTTATTTAAACTCACTAACAAAAGCCCACCCTCTCTATCTACGTTTCTGTTTTCTTTTCCCTCGAATCTGTATCAAATCTGTGCCGTTTCCATTTTCGGATGGTTCGTTAGCATTTCATATTGTTTGTTTATATGAATTGTACCTCGCAATCTGTCCAATTCTCCATGCAATTCCCAGAGCTTGTCGATATTCCCACTATTACTAGCATCGTCGCCGCAACTTTTATCGTCCAGACCGCTCGACAAGGATCCCGTGCGCCGGACCTCCGCACTCATAATGTCCTGTTTATTGTTGTCGCTGCAGCGAAGGACTTCCATCGTATGCTCGGCACTCGGGATTGGCCTGGAAACAAGAAGGAAACAGAGACAAAGGGACAATAAAATGAAAGGGATCGTTGTTGGTTTGGTAGGTAAGTAGGACGAGGGTTCGCGCTGACAGGACGTTGGGTTTCGTATAAATATCGAATTCCCTGCGTAATAAATTCGATTTAGTGGAGATTTCGTGGCACACTGGGTTACCTCTTTGATACAGTTATATATAGCACAGTTATAAATAACAATTAAACCGATAACGAAGATGGAGAAAAACAAAGTAACAAAAAAAGAACCCTAGAGAAAATTGAGTTTTTCTTTTTACAACTTGCACATAAATTTATTAAGCGAACGTTCTTTCTTATAATACAATAATTAGGTTTATCTCTGTTTTGTATACAATTGTTCAGGTCTAAATACTACTGTCAACATAGTTATTATAAAGCCTTTAATTACTGAAATGTATTAACAAAACTGGCTATATTTATATATAAATTTGGAGATGCTCGTATATATGTTTATTTGTAGTAATCATGGCGAGTTATAATACAGTGTGATACATAGGATATATCAGATACATAAGATATAAAAGTTACAAAGGTTTCTTACGGTATAATAGGTCCGAGGGCCAACACAGAGAATACACACGAGATAATACTGAGAAAACTTACATGTTATTAAGACACAAGAGTAGCGGAAGCGAAGCGAAGACCGAAGTAAGAAAAGGTAGAGCCCTTATCGGACCTACCTGGAATACCAGCTGAGGGTTGGAGTGGGGCGCACCGTAACGGGCTTGTAGGTGACGTCATATTAGCGGGCTGGAGTGAGCACCACATAAATAACACAATATTATCATCAAAAAACATATTTTACAAATTGAAAAATAAAAAACTAAATCGTAATTATCAATAATTTGAACATTTTCAATTCAAGTTTTTAAAAAATTATTCTTGTTCGATAAATTTTGTAACAGTCCTCTATACAAAGTCTTCGGGAGACCAAGTAGTAACATATTTTCGTTTTTATTTTTCACCTCGAACAGTATTTGAGCATACATAGCAAATTCTTTGTCTTTTATTGTTTACTTTCAATGGATGGAATATTAACTGGTGAATGCTTTTCCCTTAAATTTACTGCAGCTAAACGATCAATGGTTTACATACTTTGTCTTCTCGACCAAGCTGCAGAGTTGCACGTTTTTCTAAAATTCGTCTCACGATATTTCTAATAAACATTTTCAATGTGGTAAAAAAATAATTATTTTTATAAGAAATTTTATCAAAAAGTTGTAGTTAGTAGTACTAAATGAAAAGTTTCATTTCGTCAATAATAATGTTCTTTGATTCATTTTAATATGTTACTTTCACTTATTTTACTTATTTACTCTCTAATTTATTCATATGTTATATCTATTCTGATAATTATAAAAGTTAGTCTGTCCTGTACTGTCCACTCTGTTGATTTTAATCTGTTACTTTTATCTATTTTATCAAACCAATTTAATTTATTTATTTTAACTTACTTGTTTGCTTACTTTGTATGAGCCCTTTGTGATTGTAATAAAGCTGTCGATGCCTCATAAATAAATTTAAAAAAAAATGTTTTACGTACAAATAGAACAACTTTCGCGAAATATTTTTATGTTTAGACAATGAACATCTTGACACCAATTGACGTTATTTTTTTGGCAGCAGACACCAGTGTTAACTTAAAGATAAAGGTAGTATTAGTTTTATATGAATAAGAAATTGTAATATTATTTAAAATTAATGTAATATATTGAATATTAATACATTCCACTGATATTTACATATCTAATCATTAAAGAAATGTAAACAATTAATCTATTATCGGCATGAATGTAATAAATTGTATCTTCGCATTGTAACTCGCAACGATAATATTATATAAGATTCTCGACTGCAAATTTAACGTTCAAACCATTCGAAGTTTGTAAAAAAAAATGCTTACATTGTAGCTAAATTATGTACTGATTTAGCGAGCGTTAAAAGTAAGGACAAAAAGTCGATAAAATTGAAAAATTATGGATATTCGTTTTATATTGATTGTAACAAATAACTTATTTACAATTATAATTAAACTACATTATTAATAATATTTATAAAGGTATTTCTTAATTAGTTTCAAACAAAGTTTCGATTTGTTAAGCAACACAAGCGAAAGATAAATTGAACAAGCATTACATGCGTTGGTTTTATTAGAACCGCGGCGACTTGGCAAACCATCAAACAACTACTGTGTATAAAATAACAGATCGCATATTTAAAAATGAAATGTTTTTGAATAAATGTTACTCATATTTCACAACCAAAATATATTAGACGATAATTGGAAAATCACAGATTCTATATAGATTTAAAAAAAAAAAACTAATCACAAAATATATTTCTTATAAGAATAATTGAAGTTTTAACTGTATGAAAGTTAATTTTCAATCAATCAAATTTATAATTCCAAAAATATTCATAATTTACAATACAAATTAATACAACAAAAATCAATAAAATTAAAAGTCATAAGCACACACACAAATACAAAACAATTACTTTATATAATAAACATGACGGGTGTTATATATTTAGTGGCATATGGAAATAATAAAACAATATTAGTAAATGATTAATTCAAAATAAAAAAAATTAAGTTTCAACACTTCAATAAAATGAAATACTCTTCAATGGGATCAATCGGAATGCACAAATCAAAAATGATACACTCCTGCACTGACGGCAGTCACTGAAAAATGTTGTCTGGTTTATTCATTTTCTTTCAATGAGAGGATTGAAGGGTATTATTAAGTTATACAGAAATAGATATTCTCGTTTCGGGCATTTTTGAGCATACGCCGACATCTAGTAGCTGATACTGTAACTAGTATGAGGGATATAGAGAGAACTTGCCTTAGTTATATAACGCAGTATTTTAGTTCTTGTGTAATTCCGCTAGATGCCACTAATTTGCATGAATAAAGATCATATCTGATATGAAGATGTTGGATTCAAATCTCACATTTGCTTGATAACATTTCTTTTAGCAAAAACTTCTTGATCTATTCATTCATCAACTATTCATCGAAATTTTCAAATCTATTGAATTGATGTTATTTCTTTGATGTTATTTTTTCTTTTAGTATAAATTCTGACTACATTCCATTTGCTGATTGTTGAACGTTGGCTTTAAATTCCAGATATCGTTATATCAAATTTTCATTATCAGATTTATGTTCGGTTATTTACAAAAAAAATAACGATCTGTTTCTGCTTTAAATTTACGACTTTTAGATGAATAATCTATGCTACTTGTTACTTAATTTGTGAAGTCGTGTAATGAAACAGAATAAAAGGAAAAGGATTAAAACTTTGATTCGGTGATAAAAAAAAAACACATTCGCAATAGTTGCAATTACCAGCGATAAACCATGCATAAAGATTTATGAACAGTGTACAGAGGGAAGTAGCGCGACTGCACTAAGGTAATCAAATCATGTACGTAGCTCCGACTTAATCCCCTTAATTGAATGCAAAAGTGCAGGAGCACAATTAAAATCGCGCGCAGCGAAATAATAAAATCTGTAGTTACCTAAGTTAATTAAACTAAACAAGAAAATTTTGTTTTTCCGTCGAGCGTTGCGACGTTGCTTACTGAATAATAAGCGATCGCGCACTGTCCTCCGAACTCTCGCGAAATTCACGGGGAAAAACAAACAGCACAAAGCAAAACAATTGCTTTTCGTTCTGCTAGTTAGCCAAGCCGGCCTTGTAAATAAACTGGATTGATCAACGCTTTTCTTTCGCCTGTTTTTGTTTGTGTTTTTGGGACGTGAAAATGTCGATGGTCTCCATCATTTGGAAATTGAATTAGTTTGTACCAAAAGAAAAAATATATATATAGAAAATAGACAATCGATATCGCAACATTTTAAAAAGCTTCTCGACGTAATACAAAAGAAAAAAAAAACAACAACAACGACGAAAAGTTTGCTCGAACTTTGCCCTCTGTGGTTTTATTTGGTTTAAAATACATAGGCGAGGAAGGTGATGGATCACCGGATTTTTATATATTGATGGAGTACACTCATGTCTCTTAGAGCAAAATGAAAGAAAAGCAGAGAGTTTCGAAAGCATTTGATTCTTTTTCCTACACTTCATATGAAAAAGTAACAAAAAAACTAGTAGATTTTTATTATTATTATTTTAGATGATATATTTGTTGTAAAATTTGTATCATAGTAGAATTTATCTTAATTATTGTTATGAAGGTATATTCACACTAAACTGTTGTATTCTGCTACGATGACTTTTGCAAGTAACTGTGTAAATTTAAATGTGTAGTTGGCTTTGAGTAAGGATTTCTTGGGATTATAAGTGTACGCTTCTGTTGCATCTTTGCTGCGTCCTACTTAAAATTTATGACGATTTGTGTATCAAACTAATTATATATTGTATTAGCTTAATTAAGAAAAAGCAATGTGTTTAATGTATGTGTTGTTTTATAATTACAAGTCTTGAACTCTTTTATTTTCTCATTTTATGCTTTAACTAATTTATATTTGTTTATGTTTAAATAGTAATCGAAATTGAAATTCTTTAAAACGTGAGGAACAGACCGATTTGATTTAGTTATTTAGGAGAATCTATGTGAATAGTTTATAGAAACAGGACGATATAAACGTTAAAAAAAACGTACAATCAATTCTCTTCCTTTTATAATGCATTTACTAAGCACAATTCAATGATTGAAACTACATTTATGTTAAGTGATGGCTCAGGAATGCAGCAATAACATTTAAGCGATGAGATTCAGTAGTTTTGTGTCGTAATATAAATGATAGCAGCTGGGGTGGGCGGACGGCACCAAATTAAAATTGCCACCCATTTGCGGCTAATGTTCGTCATCGCCGTTAAACAAGGCCAAGCAATGCAACAAATAGGTTTTGTGTTGCGTAAGAGGTAGCGGCGCTCGATTATACCTCTTTTTCTGTATACATCACACGTCCTTATAAATTAGTCAGCCGTCAGCGTGACAAAAGGACCGCAAGGCTTCCTCCCGAAAGCGAGATGGTTTTTCATTTGGGCTTATTAGTTAAATGGGACTCACGTTAATTTTTCGGCTTCCGGTTGATAAATTCCTTCAGAAGAATGGAGGTCGCCTCTAATGAAATACCTTTTTTTTCTTTCTCCCCCTTTGTCGACTGTGTATTTTCTACTCACTTGATTACGAGATTGACGTTGACAACGTCAGTTGTTATCAGATAAATTTCAGTTTTCGTATTGGAAA